GCCCCTACATTCGCCAGCGGCAGTTGCACCTGCAGGTGAACTACCCCGCGCGTCTTGCACCTGTCTTCATTCACAGGGATAAATGGCCGATCCCGTGACGATGCTCGGCTATAAGGAGAACCATTAGTTTCCACTGATCGTGAATTGAGATCGTTCTCCGTAGGAAACAGCATGATCATCCTCTAGGAGAGGGAGGAGCTTAATGCCACTGCATTTTAGCTCGCGACATTTTCTTCGGAGCTATTGAGCCGTTTCTTGTGGAGATAAGCAGCGCGAGGTTTTGCTGCTATTTAGTCTCGTTTTATTTTATGTTGCTTAAAAAAACAAAATCTATTAATATAAATAATTTTTAGACTGCGCGAATAAAAATTCTATGTTTAAAAGTTACTTTTAAATTAATTTTCCTGACTCGTAAAGTTTCTACTTTCCCGTCCAGTGGTAAATGCGAACATTAGTACGCGTATAATACTGACTTTTACCACGAAGAAATTATTTACCGCCGTGTTACTTTTGCGATCGCGTCAAATATGATCTTAATACTTTTTATTTCTAAATCACTTATATAGAATCGCTTACGTCGCACAATCCTTTGTGAGCTCCCAACTGTGTGTTGTATTTGCGGGAATATATTCGCACACATTTCGTAAAATGATATTCACGTAAATGATTTATTAGCACTCCTTGTACACACTCGCTCGTACATTCACAAATTTCCGAATAATTCTATTAGCGCGTGTCTACGCTGTAAACCGAAATTATTTCAGCGGAACGCAACGTAACATGGATGTACTTCTAACCTTGGATTAATACGGTAGAAGAGGCACGTACCGCATAATACAAGAGAGCGTAAATTAGAACAACCATCGAGCTGCCAGTGAGTTCGTCGTACGACACGGTCTGATATTAATTAAAGCATAACGTTAAACAACCGACGTAAACAGCTGAATATTATGTTCGGTAAGGAATCGTGATGGATTTGATCACTTCGGTGTCGCAAGAGAATTTTGTTACGGCAACATAATTTATTATACAAGAAAACGAATATATATATATTGTTTTGAAAAAATTCTTTGAGAAGCGCATTAAACAACAATTGCAAACAAAACTAGTAGAAATGAGAAATATTCGTTAAAGTTTGCGATTAAGTGTACACGTAAGATATTTTTACACAGTAACACTAAAAGACGTTTTAATAAACATAAAAATTAGACTATTTTGTATCTTATATTTACATATATTCTGCAGAGTTGGTTTAATGTTAACCGCGCATTTTTCTAAGTGTTATTAATTAGCCACTGCGAGAAAAACAAAGAATAATACTTATCATTACTATTATTATTCGGCAAAAAAATAAAATATTGTTTTTATTAGATGTCTCCAATAATTAATTAACGCAAGAGTATAATTTAACGCGTACGAAGAGAGAGAGAGAAAGAGAGAGAGAGAGAGAGAGCCTGTGAAATTATTCACTTTGAATTTTAAAAGCTCTTTGGCTTTATTTAACTTTATTAAGGTCTCCGTTGCATTATTTCGAATGTTCCGCAGCATAGAACTGATGTTTTACTAAAGAAAACCAGCGAGAACACCTCTAGCGGAAGACCATTACAAATTACACGTATATTATTTCGGTGAAGCCGGATTAAATAAAATATTATCCAGGGAAAAATTAAGCGCGCGTCGGATGTTGAAGCACGACAGGAGATAAGCAGCGCAATCCACGAGCTAAAAATGTAGGAGTTACATATCCGCGACGGCCGGCGCACAATACTGTTGCGAATCCGCACGGATAATCACGATAAAAAAGTAAGTAGATAATTCCCGAGAAAAAAGTCACGCCGCACATTTGCATTCAAAGCCGGATTTTTCCAGTAGAGGAAACCGGGAGCGGTACACGCGGAAGAGTGCACATACACATATATAGCAATTAAAAGCCTCGTCGACTTCTCGTCGTAACCAAATTATAACGATTCGGCAAAAACTAAAATAAGTAATCAGCGATTTTCACACACTCGATTACTGCGTTTGCTAAGCGAACTAAAATAGCGAAACTTTTTTAACAGTTTACTCTACGCGATCGAACATTCTTAATTGTAGGAATAATTACATGAGTGATAGGAAGAAATTGAGACACAAAGTGACATCCAAAATAAATTTAAAAAACAATATGTACGCGATATTATGTAATAATATAATAGTTACATCTTTAAGCTTTCAGAAAAAAAAAATATTAATCTTATATATCTTTATACAAAAAAGTTATATAAACACAGTCGGACAAATTTGCCAGTTGCCACTTTATCCCGCACTCAAAATTGATCATCACATATCTTATATAAAGAAATTATAAAGTAAATAATAGTTTTTCTTTTTTTATATGTTTTATTAGAGTTAGTAAACTTATAATATGTCATACATATAACTACTTATAAAACATTAATAATCATTTATTGATAAAAAACCAATTTTTCTAAGTAATTTTTTATAAACGCTATTGTAAGCCTTTCGAACATAAATGATACTTAAGATTCATTTTTAATAAAAAATATTACACTCATAAAGTATATGTTGCAATAATTAAATATATATAGGATAAGTAAATAAATATATAATTAAATAGATATAGGATTATAGATATAGGAAAAACTATCATATTTCTTATTTGTTTAAAAATCATATTATATTGTACCTAAGGTAAAATTGCGATCCAAATTTTTTTAACCAATAAACTAACTAAACATAGAAATAAAAAAAACTACTCGCTGTCCAATTTTACAAAAGTGCTTTTAAATATCACATGCCATGTTTTTAATAAAAGCTATTTCGTACACGCGACTTGTAACCTGGATTATAAAGAAAAATATTTTTTTGTACATAGTACGCAAAATATAGTGTGACAACCCAGTGTGTCAAGACTTTTCGGTCTCTTCTACATTAATACACGAAAATATAATAGATTTTATACAATATTATACAATTTATACTTAAACACACAGGCAAAATTAAGTTTGGAAGTCTTTTGTTTTGTTTTTGGAATTGTTTGAAACTATTGATTCACAGCCGTTTGTCACTCAAAGCGATTTTGCTCGGTTCTCTTATCTCTCGTTGTGTTTCTCTCGCTTTATAGTTGCTCTACATAAAAATCGAAATGGAGCAACTCGAGTTTTATAAAAAATGTGAGTGTAACAATAAGGAGTTTTGCGAGAGTTTTGATAGTGTCTAACAACTGTAATCGATTCATATAAATTTCATGTATTTCTTTTCCGACATTATATATAACCGCAGTTTATAAAAATAGGAATGGAGCAAATCGATTTTCAAGACATCGCTCCAAGAGAAATCGTTCCAAAGTTCAACTACTACTATGAATATCTAAGATTTTTAATTATTCTTGACCGCAAAATAGGTGAAGACCATAGATAAAAGAAAGCGTGAAACAGACCGAATTGTGTCCGGGTTTTTCGACTAATTGAATGGAACAGTGCGCGAAGCAGTAATGACCCAAACACGATCGGACAAAAGCCCAGAGCGATAATTCATTTTACGTATTGGCTAGTACTAATTGCGGTCTCGGGTTTCTCGCGCGTTGTGGGTTAATTACCGAATATACACATACGCGCCGCAGCATTATTCTGCGGTGCGTATCTTTACTGTCGCATACATAAAGCACATGCTTTGGAAAAGAAAGAAGTAACATGTATGAATTTCATAAAAAATAACATACTGTTATTTAAGCCGCGTCATATGTATTGTCGCCCTTTAAAAACAAAAACCGTATAAGATCTTCGAAAAGCAAAACCAATTTTTCTTAGCATTTTAATTCCGAAATGGATTGTGCGTTAAATAGATTTAGTGTGAAAAATATAGATCCTCGATACGCGTTATTCGCGAGGACACATTTCAAATTAATAGCGATTCACGTTCTTTTTCTGTGCGAGATATCGCATGGTCGAACGCGCGCCGAAACTTTCATTCCAACGCTAGAAGTTATATGCCGGCTCGTCACGGGCGAAGTTATTCGCGCAAGATTCCAGTTTCCACGCGGAATTTAATCTCATTGGAAAGCTCTCCCCGCGAAACGAGCAGACGAAACGCCGCCGCCACCACCGCCGCCGTTGCCGCGCTGTGGATAGCGTCGAGAAATCTGGTCAGGCCACGTGGCGCACCCAGAAAGATATCACCAAAAATCGCTCTCGCAGCCTCATGGACTCCTACTCCGGAAATTAAAGATTCAACGAGCCGAGGGTAATTTCGGAAACGAGGAACAAGGACTCCGACGCGTCGGGAAGGGGGTGGTGTGCGGGAGAGAGTTGAAAATGGAAATCGATGCCGAATTCGGTCGGCGAGGAAGTGGAGAGGAGCAAGGGGGTAAGGTTGGAGGAGGAGTGTTACATTCGACGTCGTTAAGTCGTATTTGAGGGAAACTCCGTGGAACAACTATTGATAGTGGAGCGGAAAATGCGCATGCTTTCGCGAAGATTATACTTTCGTGGGGAATTTATTTCGATCGTTATACAACGATCCCCGAGTTTCTGGAGCTGTCGTCGCTTCTTTTCGCTCCCAGAATCTTCGATCGGGGCAGCTTTTCTTGAACGCAAATTTGAATTCTTTGTTCACAACGACATACTTTTTCACAATATTATGATTTTTTTATTTTTGCGTCAATCTCTTTATATATTTACAAAATCTAAAATTATAATATTCTTTGTTACGTGTCAACTTATACTCAAAACAATTGTATAAAAAAAATTAAATATAAATATTTATTTGTAACAAATATAAAATTATTTGTATTAAATTTAAATATTTATTTATAAAAAGTAAATTTAGAAATTCCTTCAAGTTTCATTACTTAATTATAAATAATACAGAATTTGTTCAAAAATGTTTTACAACAGAGAAATAAAAAAAGAATCAATTATAGACATCAACAGTTTTGCTTTTGCATGAATCTTTAAGAAATTTTATCCTATAACAAGTTGACCGAGGTACTTGATTTGCAGGAGGAGTGCGCGTCGACAATGAAGCAGGTGAGTGACAAGATCAACAACAAGCATCACGAGGTGCACACGCATCCGCTGCTGTCGATCTTCAAAATGGCCGAGGTCGAGGTGAGGATGCCGTACAGCGACGAGGCGGCGATTTCCCAGCCGTCGTCAGCGCTTCTCGTCGTTCTACTCGCGTTCTTTAGCCTTTACTCGTCGACGTGTCTCTTCGGTTCGTGACAGGGGCACCGGGGCATCACGAAGACTTTGTATCGAACGTCTCCCCCGCGATGGATCGCCACGTGTCGCGTGCACATAGTCGCGAAGGCTCCGCAGTCGTTCATCCAGACGAGAGAAGACTCGCACTCTTGAAAGGCACTCAGATCAACGAAGGGAAAAATGTTCCCACCTTCTCTTCTCGATTGCCGTGCGGATCGGCAGATCGCAGGAATCGATCGGCGTTCCGCACAGCGATTTCTCCATGCGTTACCGTCGGATCGCGAATCGCTCACACCACACCGAGGACATTATTGAAATATATATATATATATATACATATATATATATATATGTATATATATATATCGAAATGTAAAATGTAGTATTCTTGTTACTCTTTCTCTCTCTTTTGAGCGTCCTCGTCCTGAGAACCTTTGAAACACCACGGCTCGCGTGTGATTTAATCCTCAAACGCGCGACGATTGTATACACAATTTTAATATTAATATTTTACAAACAAACATTATTATTTATTTTTCTAGAATATATTCTAGTGATAATAGAGAAAAAAAAGTACTAACACGTGTTTAAAATTGCACCGAAGCTCTTTAGCAATTCCGGGCTCGCCTCTAACTTCGGGATTATCTTGTTTTTATTTTCGAAATATTTATCGGAGAACAGGGAATTTGCGAGCGCGCGAGCACCTTTATAAAATATTCATTATATGTCGCAACATTTTGAAGACATTTAATATGGATGCTAATGCATCCCGTGGAAATAATAACTCCTCACCTTGTTGGATGCGAGTGTCGTGGCGCGCCGCAACAATAGCCCTGCATAGAAAATATAACGCTGCCGGGGTGCTCAAAGGGTTTTAGCGACGGGTATATGATCGATGACGCCGACCCTCTCGACGATATCGGCGCCGCTTTGAGGTCACGTCTGATACGGAAACGAGATTGACACGGAATACATTTGTCAAACTCGACGATATCACGCGGAAATCATTGGTTTTCATTCCCGAGTGCTCGCGGCGGCAATTCTCGCCGTTATTTTCGAGTGTCTTCGCCATGAGATTGCTGCGCACGATCGACATGCAGCAGCCGATGTAACTCTCGTCGGCGCGAGCTGCATTGCAAGTTGTTAATCATTGACAGTCGCGCTGCGGCACTACTTGGTGATTCACGGACGAGCAATTTAGTGTGAATAACTGATTGAAATCAAAGAGAAACTCACACTTTGAAACCACCAAAAATTAAAATTTGTTTACTTCTAAGATCTTAGCTGATATAATAAAAAAGCAAATCTATAAATTATATATATGTATATATATGTACATATATATGTATATCTATATATATATTTATGTGTGTGTGTGTATATATATATATATATATATGTGTATACATATATATATACACACGTATATACATATATACACATGTATATATATATATATATATACATACATATATATACATATATATGTATACATATACATATATACATACATATATATATATATATATATGTATATACACACATATAATGTATACAATATAAATTTAGTAAATTTTCTTGATGCCTATAATTTTGGCAGAGAGAAAGAGAGAGAGAGAGAGAGTGTGTGTGTGCGTGAGTGTGTGTGTATGTGTAGAATCGTTACTAGAAATTACACGTTACTGAGACGGACAATCAAGGCAAAGTCCGTGGATAGCTGCAAGCGAAACGTTCCGTTGCGAATTGTTGAATAAAGATGTAACATAATGTATAATCCAAAGTATTTTATTTTTGAACGTTGAGATTTCGCGATTATATTATTGTTGTAATAACTATATTGTAATGTTAGCACGAAAATATACGGAGAGTGCGAACACACTTCGCATGTTCGCCGCGATCGATCGGCAGCAATCCCGGCAGCAGCAAATCGATCGACAGAACAGAATTTAATTCGCAAGGAGAAAATATTAAGAAGAGGAGATAACACACTCGAAGTTTTGATTTCGCAGAAGGAACATCTCAAAAAGAGAAGAAACTGAGATGAAAAACAAAGAGCGATTTGCGATCGTTCGGTGCGTGAGTGTGTGATAATAATTCGATCGTAGCATGAAAGGCAGTCTGTATAAATAACTAAACTATTTAATCTATATTTACTATATGATTAATGGCCAAGCAAGCAAATCTCCTCCCATACTGGACCATTAGGTGTTTGTTAAAGTTGTAAACCTAAAACGTGTGCGTCCGCGGCGCGTCGCGCGCGAGAGAGGCTCGAGTGTGTAGATCAACGTAGATTGTTAATAGCGACATAAGCAAAGACAGCAAGAGTATGTGCAATAGAATAAGCCAGAAAATATGGTTAAGCAGAAAAGAAAGTCGATCGCGGCCTGCGCGTGTCCGAGTTTTGTCGTGTCGATGTGAAAGTATCTTCCGATGCGAATCGATCTTGACAAATGGTCTCGGAGAACTTCTTTCTTTCTATGTATTTTCCTCGCGCTTTATTATTAATTCAAGCGGGAAATATTAAACGGAATATCGGAAAAGTTGATTTAAGAGCGATACTTAGCGCATACGCATTATATCGTTTTTCTTGCAAAAATTTTTATTGACAGTCATTTCGCGCGCACATTGTTTTCTCCGACGAGATCTTCTCTATAAGCAACGCAATGAATAAGAATATAATATAATTTGCTCGCGCAAACAAACAATCGGTGCTTGTTCTGATCAGCCATTTTGATACTCCGTTTGATTTCGTAAAGTTAAATATATTCTGTTTTGCTTGTTTACATATATAAGTTTACATTTAACTTATTAAAACCCTGAACGGGTGCCTTAAAAAAAACTCAAATCTTAAAAGAACAAAAGTTGCCTTGTCATTAATATCTTCTAATAAAACTTGGTCTCAAAATTTATTAATTCAAATATCTTTACGTTTCTAATTATTTCATTGTTATTTATTTCTTTTAAGATCTTCTATATAAATTAAATTTCTTTTCTATTTCTTATAAAAAATCTACGTATATAAAATTGAAAATATTAATTTTTTCTTAAGTATGTGTTATATATCAATATTAAAAGTGATTTGCGGCAGTTTTTGTAGTTATAACACAGTATAACAGCGGTAGTCTCTCTATGTTGATGAGTATATTGAAATAATATATACAAAAATTCTTATTATTATTATCTTGCTTTTTTATTTTCTTTGATTGCTTTTTTTATCTATCATATTCCTGTTATCGATTATTTTATTAGAGACGATGACGCGCCGATAGGGACAGACGCGTATCGATGCGGAACTGTTGCGCGGCACGTCTCTCGCGCCGCCTCTCTCTCACATCGCTGTCTCCTCTTTGTAATTACGGCGCGCAATGTCAATAGTTCCTGACTGTGGGAGGCACTCTTGTATAAACGGTCGATTTGTCAGGCCGGAAGACACGAGAGGGATACGAGAGGCGGAAAACTTGTAAACGCCGGCCGAACGCTTGACATTTACAAATTACTCAGAAATTCACAAGTTGGAATTATTCAGCAGCAAAAGAAGTTCTCCCGCTGACGCGATCATAATCTCGATACCAGCGATTAATAATCCTCGGAATTCTGATAATTATCCCTTTCTCAAGACGGATTCGTCGTTCCGCAATCACATACGCGTTCGCGTACATCCAATCTCTTTTTTAAACGCCGCTAAAATACAGCGAGTTTATAATGTTTCGAAAACCAAACGCCGGTTATCGAATCTCAATCATTTTTATACTGTTCACGAAAAACGCTAAATGCGCATTACTCATAATAAAGTTTGAAGCGTACCAAAGAATCGTCGTTTATTATAAATGTATGAGGAGCTATTAACAAGTCAAAACAACGCATATCAAATAGAAACAAGAGTATCACATTGCTGTTGTCGTTGACATGTTTTATCTTTCAGAAGAACACGTGTCAAATGCTGACTTATTTCATAGTTGCGCCATAGCTTGCCGAAGTAGACACGCTCAATGGTTTTTTACAATGTATCAGTTCTTTTTTTCAACTATTGCCAAACTTTCGGCTTTGAATTGTTGTCTCATCCTCATTTTTCGCCAAATATAGCTCCGTGCGACTACCGTTTATTTTCGAATCTGAAAAAATGTCTCGGTGAAAAAAATTTTTCCACAACAATAAAGTCATGCCATTGTAAATGATTTATACTTTGGCGAGCTGTCACAAAACTAGTAAAACTAGGTGTGATAATGAGCCAGCGTGTGATATTTATTCTTCTAAAGAATGAAACTTGTCAACGACAACAGCAACGTGATACTGTCACTATCTACATATCGTGTCGAATACTTATCAATTGCCTAAGTGTATTACGAAAAATATAAGTGAAAATCGACTCGACGCGGCGGAAGAAACTTCTTCATCGCAGTCTCTTTATTTATAGGAAAACTGAGCTTAATAAATATTATTTTCTACATTTATCAGTATTAAATATTTATTGTTCTTAGTTTTTATATTTATCAGAATTATAAATTTACTGTTTTCAGTTGCAGATTGTTTTGATAATAAAAGCAAAACTATTGTTAATCTTAAATCAAACATGTTGTATTGTTTTCAATTGCATGTATTCAAAGAAAATATATATATTCTATATTTTATATTTAAACTTCTATTTTGCAAGATTTATTTCCTAGTTATTTGTTTTTTTTTGTTTCATCATTATCGCGAAGCTGTATTAAAGTCACAATCAATAAACAAACGGAGTTAATTCCAGAAAGTAAATACGGATTATACGAATAGCCGTCGATGGGAACGCGAATATAACGATTACTACGGAAACTTTTGTTATCCTTGTGACTCTCGCTAGCCAAATAAAGTGATGAGAATCCGTTGGATGGGATCGTGAGGATTATAATTGCGCTGAAGCTTCAAGCGAATCCGGGACCTTCCGGGCTCCCGAGTTAACTAATGAAAACTCGCTAGACAATGTAGCGGCAGGAACAATGCGGCAAATAAATAGAGCCCTTCTATGCATATGATATATTCTATAAATGTACGTTACGTAAGTACATATATATATATATATATATATATATATATATATATATATAGAGATAATGCAAAATAAAGGCGAACAAGCCGGTGCTTTCTGGCTGCCACTATTGTTTGTACATGAACGAATGAGACAAGTTGTAATACGGTAATTCAATTAGGTGATATTTGTCGATATTAGGCAAAATTCGCGCCTCGTGTGAGTCCCTGCGTGAGAAAAATGCGAAGAGTGCGTTTTGTGCGCGCCAATCGTTCTCTTTGCGCTCTCTTTCTCC